CCAGTTAAGCTGAGGTTGTAGTTGAAATCACAGCGTTTAACTTTTTATTTACTGCCTACTACTTCCTTCACGGAGGATGTTATGTAAGATGAAACTACAATGATAGTAGTGTAAAAGCTCAAGTTATAATAAGTTCCAGACTCTCACCTTACCAACTCCACACTGAATCACTAAACTTAGTCCAATTTCTACTTACTTTTAGGAACACGCGCTTTTGTGATGAAGTAACTCTACAACGTTCGTCGTCATTGTCGCATTTGTGTTTAAAAAATATGATCACGATTTTATTATGAAATAGATAAAAGGATAAAGTATGATGTCTATCAGGCTAAGATTGATTCATTATGCTCGTGAGGTGTTCCTACCTAGAAAATTCCTAGAGTTACTAAGTAGGGATCCACATTAGTAGTTTTGCTGGCTCATTATCAAGCTACTACGTTTCTGACACTCTTCACGAACGTGATTGAACTGATAGCTGCCGACCTGCAACTGCGCCATCAATGCACTACACTACAGTTGCCAGGATGATCTATTCCGTAATTAACACAGATGACGTTATGCTTTTTTCTGAAGCTGAAATTCACCCATTTAGACGAAGTTCAGACGTTTATCTGTTGAATAACATCGCCAAGAACAGTTATGTATCAAAAAGTAGTGCTGAATTTTCGTGGTTTTGAAATACTATGCCATGAAAAGCAAACGATGAAGCGTTAGGGTTTGGCTGGCACTTCAAAAGTGCGTTCAAGCATTATGGGTAAACTCTAAAAACATAGAAGAGAATGAAGCATTCAGCGTTGATCAACCTGCGAAGAATGTGTCACGTATTCCATTCCATTCGTACCATAGGAAAGGTGATTGAATGAGCATTTCTTCTATGAAATGACTTCCGTGGGCTTACTATTCTACCAACCGGGTCTTTTCTATCGTTTTACCCGAAAAGTCTACGATCAACTGCTTGACCGCGGAAGCATGGAGGGCCTTTTTTCACAGAGTTGTGAGGAGGAGACAATACCGCGTTTTTCTTGCATGGAACGCCTGGTGTCTAAAAAAACCTCCCTAACTAGACCATCGAAAATTTTTCTTTTGCGGACCCCTATACACTTTTTTGGTTGGTTGTGTTTGCTATTATGTGATAGACGTAGGAAACTCAACTTCTAACCCTACATAACATTGCAAAAGAAACACCAGCGTAACAAAGCTTTATGTTAAATACAAAGGCTTATAAGCTTTTGGAAGAAGTGCCACATAATATTTGTAATAGAAAACCCGGAGTGCTTTCTTTATGAATGTTTCGTACCCGAAGTTTGGCTATCGGCTATTAGAACTACTCAAATGATCGCGTCTCAAGGTAAATATGCCCTGTATGTGTGTGCACTGTGACCTGTATGTGAGTGCACTTCTCCAGTTATCTCCGGCATGTGAAAGAGAGCAGTGCAATGTCTGGACAACACATTCTCCTCCCGAATGCAAGCGGGTGCGATCGATCAGAAAAGTCACCCTTCGCTGGTCAACACCGTCTCTTCAACGAGGTGTAACACAATCAACGACATCCAAGTTCCCCGTATGGGAGACCCTACGTCACATAAGAAGCTCAGTCCAATCACTACTGCATATTACTACATATTTCACAAATTTCAAAATCAAAAGACGTTTATTATGTGTACTTGCGAAGCCTAGTAAAGAAAAAAAACGAATAATATGTTACCAGATATTTTGAGATCTAAAAACCGTATACTACTGAAATCTGCTCTAAAACCTTCCTCTCTTGACATCAATGAAAATATTCTCATCAAATCTGACGCTTCGGAACTGTTTATTCGCAAGCCGGTAAGCAGACGTGGTAAATGTAATGTGATTGTATTCGCTTGTTTAAGAAAGTACTTGGATTATCAAATCGGTTATAGTCGGATGCTTGCTAAACACGAAAACAAGAAGAGGTTGGATCGTGTAGGTCTTTTTTGTGATTATTTTATTAATCAGTCCATCGTAGATAGTGATGATAATGACTTTGTAATATTCAATTTTAACAAAGAAATACTTCTCAGATACCCACGCAGCTGCGAGGTTGAGGAACTCTCAACCATATGGTGGTCAACACACCTACTTGACACTTGAACGGTCCGTCCTCACTGGTCGCGCAGTCCCCAGCTTAATCACCATTTATCGGAGATTTGCTCGTTAAGCCATTGTGGTTCCCTGGAATCCCAAGGTCAGCTCAGAGGAAGAATTGCCACCATGCGACTTTGATACCAGGACGGTGGCGGATCCTGGTATTGGGTTAAGCTAGGCTTCCTGATGGAAACGCTGGATTCCTTCTCAGCTTGGGAGGCCCTGCCGGGGGACAAATCCTTCCTCTGTACATCGCAGTCCGACACCCAGGAACACCTCCCAGCCACTACAAGACAGTAAACCGTTGGGAGGATGGTGGTCATCGGCAAATGTAATCGGCAGTTTGAAAATCTGATTGAGTCTTTATAAACTGTTCCTCTGTATTATTTTCCTAGGCACCTCAATTTCCGTGGCTTCACATGCTCCAGGTGGAGAGTCAATTTTCACAGGTGATCGTCGTGGTGCATATGGACTTTGGCACCACTGATATGTTGCTGATAAATTTGTTACACTAGTCTTTTCTACCAAGTCAACGCCATTTTATTTTCATTAGCTATCACTTAAGATTAATATTACAGATAAGTAGCACAGTGACGCCATATTTTTGTGATAGTCTCACCACTCTTGGCTTGCCACATTTATCACATCTTCGTTGGCTTTTTATATCTGACCTTTGACCCTTTGTTGGAGATGTACTTAGGTGTCTTATCTTTTTCTTCGCACTGTTTAATTTTACATGGCCTGATATCACATATTGTGCGGATACTAACACATTTCATTCTATTCTCGTTTCCTCACATTCATATTCCATGGTCGTCGAACTTTGCATACGGCTTCGGTTTCCGATTGAGGATTTTTGCTATTCTCTAAGAATAGTTGAATGCTGGTTGAGACAACTTTTCCTAGAACCTTAGGATAGCCTAGAGTCTTCATCTTCATCACACGTAGTCGCCAGCTTTTTTGGACTCTAGTACTTCCCACAACCAACTTTTTATTATCTTCAGCATTGTTTAGTAAGTCAGTATTTTCTTCTTGAGCAGACATGGGACTGGTGATAAGAAGATTTATTCAATACTGGTTGACGTTTTGGAAGTTTCGCCTTCTTCAGAGTTTGGAAACATCAAATTGACACGCAATCTACAAATTTTCATTACATCAACAGATAGAACATGATACACGAATGTCAATCACATAATAAACCGCTTGTTTCAACACTCACGGTTTTGTGCTTTGTAAGTCTTCCAGTTATTGTTGGAGACCAGCCGCACTGAGGAATGGGCATAGATGAGGAATATTCCTGGCTCAGGTCAAAAAATTGGCCTAAGATATGGACCGAGGTCACACGTGGTCAATGAGCACTCCTTCTTGCGGTTTATTTTTGGATTTTTGAAATGCATCCAAAATGCATCGGGAGTTTTATAAGCTGCGGTTTTGGATACCTGCTTGAGGATAGTAGCTTTTACTTCAAAATCTCCTGCACTTTTCTTTGTGTCGCATACGTGTACAGTGGTGTGTTTTGTTTGACTTTAAATCTTCGAACTAGTTATTCGTTTATACGGACGCAGAGTGGTAGACCTGGTTTGCCACCGTATTCGTATCAAAGCCTTTCACATTAAATGAAGTAAATCATGCCCGCACTCATGCCGTTGCCGTCCTTACTGTTACAACAGATTATGCAATTCCTATTACATACATCGATCATCAAGCGGTTACAAACTAGCCGATATGTTAGAGTGTTCTTTTGCATAGTACTGAACAAGTTTGGTAACAATTTCCTGACGCCGGAGGAATGGGGTGCTTCGTTGGATGTGCGGTGGGCTCAGAGAGCGCTTTGAAGGTATTGATCAGCACCTTTACAAATTCATAGAAGGGCACAGTATAAAGCACTCGACATTAGTCGGCATCTGAGACTTGCTTCATGCATTCTAATCTTACATTGCATACACAGGCACATTCTCGTTTATAACCTCGTCGTTGTCAAGATCTTCAAAATGAAACTCTCGCAACAAAGCACTGTGTGAATCGGAATATAATCTACAAATTTTCCATGGATATTCTAAGGCACTTCTGAAATTGATCGATACATGAAATCAAGATGAATGCGGTAAGAGGACCAGTAAAAGAAACTCCACAGAAAACGTAGTAATATTGGCCAGCTCCTCTTGAACGGTTCTTTTGTGAGCTGCTTTTTCGTCCAAAGCAACAAAGTACTGAGAAGCTGAAGTCTGGCGGCACTGTAGCTATGATCTGAGGTAATAAAGAGCTCACTATTCTGCCTCCAACACACATTTTTTCCTTACTGTTACGAAAGCGTGTGGGTACACTGAGTTGGTCTTCTTATATAGTTACAATTAGCCTGAGAAACTTTGGCTGAACATAATGCTTTGATCTTTTAAGTAATTGGTTTTTCTAATTTTGCTTGCTAATCTTAACTCTTTTATTTACTGCCTTTTTCTTCTTAATGGCAGGGTATGTTGTGAAATATAACTCGTATGAAATGCTGAGATATTTGCAAAACTCCAGACCACAGGTGTATGCAGTGGGGAACGAACACGCACTGTTTTGCTGGCTAAGGCATGCGATTTTAAAAAATATAACTTGGTTAAGTTTTTTCCCGAAAGATTCAGGATTTGAAAGCCTTGCGAAATTGAGAAATGAGAGATTTCCACTCGTCGTTTCGTAAAACTGAGCGAAAATACCCGATAAGCCTTTGGTTATAGATAAATATCCGAACACACCTGACTGTTTAAGTTCAAATCGTATTCAATTTGTGATCAGAAATTTTTTTTCGCTTCATAGATCTTCTGTAGAAATCTATGGAATTCAGCAAAGTGTGCTGTCTTTCGGATTTTTAGCAGCTTATACTTTTTAGAGGTTTCTTTCAGCGAGCGCTGAAGACTACCGTTCATGGCGATTGTCAGGTATGCGGTCAGCTAGGACATGGAAGTCATTTCGGTGTTCTAACCTGTCGAGCATGTGCTGCATTTTTTAGGCAAGCAGTTCGTTTACTAGATTCATTCTCATATAGGCTTTCCTACCAGATATTACAATCTGTCATTGCTTTCCGATGAGCCATTGATCTTTGAAATTTTTTCTTTCTGCAAAACGTTTGCAAAACAATAACTTTCATTTTCATTCTTAGTTGGTTGTTTGGATCGTTCGTAATCACGGGTTGTGCAAGCCCCAGCGTGGTCTCTACTATTTCTGAGTTTTGCTGCCTTAGCCGTCGTGGTTCTTTGGAATCACGAGGTCAACCAGGCCAATCTCTGACCCTGATCGTCACCACCGCAGGCGGTCGCCGTCCTTGCGGATCAGAAAGAGATTTGCCACCACGCGACTAGTTTGATACCAGGACGATGACGGATTTTGGTGCTGCTTTACTCTTAGCTAGGATTCTCCGTGGAAACGCCAGATCCCTTCTCAGCTTGGATGACACTGCCAGGGAGGTGGGAGGAGATGAATTCCACCGTTGTACTTCGTGGGTCGACACCCTGGAACACATCCCCCAGCCATAATGAGGCGGTAAACCGTTGAGAGGTTTTCATTGTTAAGGTTTTTCTTTCTAAAAGTTGAGCATGATTTTTTAAACAGTTTTCTAGACACGTAACGACGGTTTCAATAGATTATTTAGTTATAGAGAGGAAAACTTCTTTGATGATAGTTTGCCTAGTTCCTTTTCCAAAATATTAGAATAAACTTTTGTCTTGCTATAAAATTCGCTCTCATAGTTGTATGACCTCCATAAAGAAGCAAGCCAGAACAATTTCTATTTGAACAGTTTTTTTTTTCTTGATATAATCCTTGAAGTCTCAAAAAGGCCCGTGGAAACATTTGCAGGTAATTACCACATAGCCTAATCTATCTCTAATGTAGGTTTGCTATCTCAATGCTCTGGGCGCGTGTACCGTAGTGGTCGGAAGCGTTCTACAGTACACATGGGATCGATCCCCTCGCCCCAGGCTTCTCAAGCCTTCCTTCCCTGTGGGGTCGACAAATTGGTACCATGCTTGCCTGAGAGGATGGTAGAATTGGCTCGATACATCAGAGACCACCGCTAGTCATTATCGTAAAGGCCAGATATGCATTCACTCATCCCTTAACGATGTTTAATAAAATCGAACTCATGACGCACCCCTTAGAGAATGATCAGCACCGAGTGCTTTGTTTTTTCTATCCTTTTTATCATAAGGCAAGTATTCCATAAGATTGAAGTTGAATTTTGACATACTCCCAGCGGGGATTCCGGGCGATCCTCGGTGTAGGAGGAAAACCCTCTTTGTCCAAATTCCATATCCCAGGAGAAAGGAACAATAAGGATTAGCTGTCTCAAAGCAAATCTGTGGAACTCGCTGTTTAATAACAGCGGTTTGGTCGTAGTAGAAAGTGGCTAGTGTCTTTTCAGAAGAACCGTAGTGATGAATCGTCAGTACACATGTCGTCGAGCTAACAGTTCTTGTCAGATCTCTAAGGATGAACGATATCTTTGCCGACTTTGTCGTTACAATAAATGTTTGGCGCTCGGAATGACCCCAGAAAGTACGTAAGTGTCGATATGCGGTAAAATTCCCCACGTTTTACTCATTCTGCAACATGTGAGTAGCGCACGACTCTTAGGTGACCCAAAATAATCTGACCTTTCAAAGGCAAACGTATCTATGCGCTTAGAGAACTTTATTTATCGAGAAGAACAATTTTAATTCTCAGACAGATTTTAGTTTTTGATATTTTCTATCAACCTTCTGTTATCTAGATGGTTCAGGAAGGTATTAATCATTAGAGCGCAGCTTAAATGACGGCAGATTTGAAAAATATAATTTGCAAATAACTCGAAGGACCGACTTTCTATAAACTTCGGCATAGATAGTTGATACATTTATTTATGTGATCTTATAAACTGATCTTCTTAAGCTGACCCGAGGTTGGTACAGGTCTTTGTTGTCGTTGTCGTTGATTTTGATGTTGTCGGTCGATGGCTAACGTTTCGGCGACTTCGCCCACACGTAACATCACGGCTCTGAGGAAGGCGAAGTCGCCGAAACGTCAGCCATCGACCGACAACATCAAAATCAACGAAAACGACAACAAAGACCTGTACCAACCTCGCGTCAACTTAAGAAGATCAGTTTATAAGATCATATAAATAAATTTGCAAATATTTTTCAGCAAGGTATAAATTTCATTTTTATAACAAGTTGAAACAACAGTCCTTTATCGATGTCGCTGTTTTTTGCCTTTTTCTTAGCATTGCTTGAGAATTTGAGTTTGAGCGATTCTAAAATCAAGGTAACAATTTAGGACGAGTTATTTGCTTTCTTACAATGATATAGGGAGGCCTGTAACATCACTTTGTCAGGTCTCTAAGTACCTAGGGAGTCAGGACGAGGCCTACCACATCATTTTGTCAAGTACTTGAAGATTTAGGTGATTATCGAAATAACGTCGTAATCTTGACTGTTTTAAACGCTATGCAACAAATTCTAGGTACAATTTGCAGGGATATGGCAACCAACTTTTTTAATACAAGCTTAAAATTTTCAATCTCTTTTAGCCGTAACCGACCCGTGTTCTGCTATAGAGCTCTATATAGATTGCCCTTGTTCTACGAAATCTGACAGAGAGAGATTTGAGGTGATATTAATATTATAAACGGACTTATAATTTCTAACATGATTTAGACGTTCAGTGGAATAGAGATATTCTTTCAACGACTGTAGATGGGAGAAACCTTAAGAAACCGGTGAGAATTTAGATCATTACTTTCTTCTCTGGACCGCAGTGATCACAGATGCAATGCAGATGAAAATACCCATGGTCTTTTTTCATCCCTGTGCCCTTGATATATCATGCGCTGCTCTGGGATCGGCTACCACTTTTGTTCAGGAGCGTTAAAGTACTGATTTCATGTATCAGCACGTCACCATAGGTCGTTGTGTAAGCCATATATGCATCTTATCACTATGCTGCAAATAAAATTGAATGCATGTGCACCCTTAAAAGACTGATCGACGTCGAACGCTGTATTTGAAAATTCTTGTACGGTCTCTGCTACCATTGTGCGTTTTTTCTTTACGAATTTCTTCGAATGCTGAAGGAGTTGATTCCTTTTCGATTCGCGCACTAGCCATGTAAAAATCTCGTCAGCGTTTCACCACATGATGTCTTGTAGATTAAATGGAGCTTTTCCAACCTAGTATCATCTGGCTGTCATCGAATGAATAGAGACTTGGATGACTCGGTGCGTGTTTGAAAATCAATCAGACAGTTTATGGCGCATCTCCTCTAATCACCACGTTATCAGTCTCCTACCCTGAACGTAGTTTGTATACATGTGCATAATTTATGTGTACGCATATATACATGTATATAACCAGAAACCTTATTCTAATTGCAGCCGAAAGTAAATGGATACGGCGAATGCACAAACCAACAAAGTTATCTTGAAAAGGTGAGATTTCTCTCCGTGATTCGATCAAATCGATTACGCTTTCCTCCTTGGTTTTTTTATCGGTGAAGTAACTCGAGGTCAAGAACGTGTAATGGACGAGAACAGTTTCAGTCATTCAAGCTACCGAAAACTCAGCAAATAACATTAATTTGGAGTCTATTAGCACTTAGGAAACGATGGAAATGTTTCGTTCATTTATTATTTCAAGCTATATACCACCTCTAGAATTCGCTTTATTTTTTGCTTAGATTTAATATACTTGACTATATTTAGAGCTCTACCTCATCCCAAACCCCTAGACAATTCCAGCTTTATAAGGTCGTTCTGTTTATTCTGCATTCTTTACGCATAAGATCTCATCTTCGCCAAGTTGATAAATATGATACATTACCATCCATAAACACGACACCTAATTCCCAGGGTCAACGAATTAAAAAAAGACCACTGTACTGTTCTTTGCCAATCATGTTCACCCATTTCCTTGATAGGGGTCTTTAGGAGCTCGAGCTATTCTCTAGAACTCACTGCGCACACTGTTGGGATATGCTTGAGTTGTGCACATATAAGCATATGTTTTAGGCATTAACCTATAGAAGTCACCAAAGTGATTGTATTATAAAGAAAGTGTTATCTAATACATGATCAAGAATGTTAGGACTTTTTTAACTATTACCTATATCACCTGTAGTCCCGTTGGTCATTGAATGACTCTAGCGGGTGCAAGTAAATTTCCCATTTTTCTTTCTTGTGTGCAAGAGTAGCCCAGTGGGTTCTTCTGGCTATAGGGACTCGTCGAGCAACATACCTTTCGTTTAGAGCTTTTCTGAATAAATTCGACCGTCGGGTTCGTGTTCTTCCTGCTGTACGTTTAACATCTCGAGGAATCCAGTCACTAACGGCTCCTCTTCATCGGTTGTCATTCATACGCATTACGTGTCCGCACCACCTTATCTTCGACTGTTTGGCATACAGAACGGCCTCTTTGATTTTTCATCATTGACGCAGGACGGAGCTTCGGATCCCATCGCTTACTTGTGTGGAACGGGATACTCCTAGCATCGTCCCTTCGACTGCGCGTTCGATAACGCTGAGTGGCCTTTCATCCTGCTTAAGCAGCGACAAGGTTTCTGACGAATGCGTTAGGGCAGGAAGTGCCGTTGAGTCGAAAAGGTTGGCACGGAGTCGGGTGTTATTTGTTATCTTCACTACATCCTCGATGCTCTTGAAAGCTCCCAAAGCCGCTCGTTTCCTTCTGCTCAACTCTGGAGCTAAGTCGTTTAACACGCTGATTTCCCGACCTAGATAGACATAACTGGAATATTCGGAGATATTCGTTCCGTTGAGAGTGAGTGAGGCATATGAAGCCAATCCGTTCTTCATGAACATCGTTTTTGTGAGATTTAGTCGAAGACCAGTCTTTCCACAAGGTTTATCATAGTCGGCAAGCATTCATTCCGATTCGCTATTGTTTAGTGTTATAAGGACGATATTATCAGCAAAGACGAGATGGTGTAACTGCCGATCATCGATTTTCACTTCCATATTATCCCATTTCAATGTACGCATGACGTTTTGGAGGGTGGAGGTGAATAATTTTGGTGATATGGTATCGCCTCGCCTAAGCCCGCCTATGACGTCGATGTTAACATCGGTGTTATCTTGGTTGTGAAATTTTTGTACTGCTCACAAAGAATCTTTATGTACTGAGTAGGGACTCCTTAACTATCAGGAGCTTCTATGACTGCTTCTGTCTCAATTGAGTCAAAGGCCTTCTGTAAATCGATGAAAGTGAGACAGAGCGGTCTTTTGTACTCTCGCGATACTTTAATGAGCCTTGTTACCGTGTGGATGTGGTCCATTGTACTAAATCCTCTTCGAACCCTGCTTGCTCACATGGCTCTCCTTCGTCCAGTGTTCTGTCAATCCTATTTATGATGACTTGAGTGAAATGGCTGTAGACGGCAGACAGCAGGTAGATTGGGTGATAGCTGCCGATATCGTGTAGGTCACCCTTCTTGAACAATAACAGGGTCTTACTGGTCTTCCACTGATTAGGGACCTTGCATTCAGAGAGGTAACGTGTGAAGAGCTGAGCCAGTGTGTTTACGAGGACTGGCGGAAGGTCTTCAGGTGTTCTGGTCTTATCCTGTCTGGACCTGGTGCTGTTCGACTTTTCACCGACGAAATGGCATGCCGGATTTCGGAAGGGAGAGCTGGTGGTGCGACATACCCATCATCCCTTATTTCATATGACGGGAGGTGGACGTGGCTATTGAAAAGATTTGGGTAGTATTCGTGAATGATTTTCTCCATTACCTTTCTGGACGCTGTAACTGTTTCGTCTGGGTGTCGGAATGCAATCATCTTGGTCCTGTAATTGGCAAATCTTTGGTGGGATTTGCGAATGCTCTTCCCAACCCCTGTTGCAGCTTCCACCATAGACGCTGCTCTTCTGTCTTTAAGATCAAGATTAAGTTTTGTCTAGACTGTTTTGGAAGCACGGACGTTAGTTCGCGATGACCTGCAGCTCGTACGCGCATCAGCTCGAGAGTTTCTAAAGATAGACGTCTCTTGGTGACCTTCGAACTCTCAGCTTTCATAACGCTAACGTAAAGATGTTTAATGAGACGATCGTATTCCTCGTCGATATTATCGACGGTATCTTTCCAACAGGCGACAAATGGGTTGAATAAGTTTCAGTTTATGGTGGTTTTAGTACTTCGGCTTTTGAATTTAGCGGCTTTTCCACCTTTCTGCGAGAAATAGAATCTTGCACGAAAGAGACTATGGCCTGATATCGCGTAGAATTTTGGGACAACAGCGGCATGGTTAGGCAAAACCTATTTACTATGATATGGTTTATTTCGTTATGGTACTCTCCATTGGGAGACTCCCACGTCCAGCGCTGAGGGTGGGGCTTCTGGAATTGCGAGTTACCATGGATGGTCTTGGTCGTCATGATAAACTCAGATAGCCGCTCACCTGTTCGTTCCACTCTAATCTGTGGGTCCTAACGTGACGTTCCTCAGACGTTCTTCTTTGTCCATTCTTGGCATTCACATCTCCAATGATGACCTTGAAGATTGTGTGGCCTTATCTGTGGAGCTTCTCCAAGTCCATATAGAACGCTTCGACTTCTTCTTCGGCATAGCTCGACGTCGGCGCGTAAACGACGAAGATTGCCACAGCTGGTGTTGATCCACATCTTCTTAATCGCAAACGTCCGATTCGTGTTGTAAGCTGCTCGAATGAATCGATGTTCATTGACAAACTCGTGTTGACGAAAACGGCGAAGCCGCCGGCTCCTCTACTGTCGCATGTTCCGGGAACAGTTCCTCTCCGGTTTCATAAACGGCATTGAATGGGTGGCGTCTCGTCTCGGCCCGGCGAGGACGTTGCACCTTATCCTTCTTGCTTGAATGAGCAAGTCTTCTATCGAGGACTCGGATGCAAGCGTGCGTGCATTATAGGTACAGACCGTCACCGTAGTTTTTCGTGATCCAGACAGCTTTCATTGGCGCAGAGATTATTTTAGCAGCATCTCTGTACACGTCCCACCCAACGCTGCTGAATTGGAGGCACCTTCGGATTCAGGATAATAAGTCCCGTTTCTTTTACTGTGTTTAGCAGTTTGTCACCCACGTATAACTTGCTGGGCTCTGAACGTGGAGGCTGGGTATACTCACGCTTAGCTTGCCAGTATCTCCTAGACTGAACATGGAGCTTATTTGTTGGAGGTGACTCCTGACCGCCTCTCATACACTTCCCTGCCGCTTGACTCCGTGCTTTTGGCCGAATTGACTCGTAGAATACAATCCGTATAAGCGAGAGCGCATCCACACACGCATGCACGAGTACGCCTAGCAAATACAGAAAGCATGTGTCAAATCGGCACAGCAGAAACGGAGAGTCCATTCCCTGGATCCACCTGCAAGGAAGCAAAGGTCACTTTTGGTCCATGATTTACCCCCTATCCGCCTCCTGGGGACACACCACGTAGACGCGCGACTAAACGGCTCGAGATCTTTCATATGAGGAACGTCCGTGGTTATTTAACTATATTGAGAAATAAATTGTGAATGCAACAACTAGAACTAGTCAGAAATTTCTACTCCACACTCTGGCATAGATCCGTTTGCAGTCTGTGCTGAGGGTTTAACTGAGACCCTTTACACTAGATATATCTCACTAAGCACGTTTCGAAATTACGAACAAGAGTCGATCAGTAGAAGTGACCAAAGCTTCTGAGATGGCTGTTTTTAAATTTATTCAGTTGATATCCGGACAATACACATCGGGCGGTTTCAGCCCAACATGTTCACAGACCACCAACAGACAGCCGTCAAAGAGGCCGCACCCAGAGTAGTGTTCGACATTTCACCAATAATGGCGAAATTGAGGAGTGTTCTTTCCGAGGTGAGCAAAGTTACGTTTTAAGCCTTCGTTCTTCTGGATTATCTGTTGATTTATTTCATAAAAGCGGTGGAGTTGTTTTCAGTTCCAATTTTGCAGTTTTACTTACGCCCCATTCTGCGGTTGAAGTAACAAGTAGAAATATAACTTCAATGATGCTGCCGTTAAAAAAAAAGAGTAGGCAGTAAATAATAAGTTAAAATTGTGATTAACAAGTAGAAATTTTAACGCATTTGAAGACTTGCACATTTTTTTTGTGCTAATGAGGCTATTGAAGATGCTTGAAACTCTCTGAAAAAGGAATTTTTGCTAATCGTTAGGTTTTCTGGCAAACTGATATTTTCTTGAGATCTGCTCAACACAGATCGCGGTGTTTACTCACTTTTTGACCAGTTTTTTCTCGAAGGGGTCAATCCCAAGGTGGTAGTTTACCTTCATGTAGATCATCGTTTTCGATTACTTTTCTGCCAGTTGAGTTTTTAATGTTTGTTCATTTTCAGTACATTCCGTTTCTGTTTCAGTTTAAGCCTGATGAAAACCTTCCAGACGAACCGCTGCAACGAATGAATCTTGCTCTCTTAAGACACCGCAAAACTCAATTGTCAGAGTCCGAACTTCAGGTGAAGTGTTCAGCCACTCATGAGGTAGTGGATACCTCTCATGCTAAAGAAGAGTTTACAATCAAAGCGCGCAAAAACGAATGATTCCGCTAAAATCTCTGCTAGAAGGTTTCCAAGAGTAATTCGGAGATAGCTCTCCCAGATAATTCCAATACCAATTTACCGAGCTGAGACGGTTAGGAAGCTTGGCGCATAAGTGTGGAGTCGAAGCATCGGAGGATTCGCACGGATCGCTAGTTAACAGGCGTACTATATTACTGAACTTTTCAAATTCTAAGTGGCTTTGTGTAAGGTACTGAATGGTCAGAATTTTACCTCAAATGATTCCTGAATACGGTGATGAGTTGTTGAACTGCAGAAGTGACGGCACTCATACAGAGAAGAGAACACTTGAGTGATGAGTGATAGAGAGTTACGATCCTCGACAGGTGTCGGGTGATCATTCATATAATTTATCGCAAGTGAAGTAAAAAATTGCTAGAGGTACTCGTCTAACTTTAATACATTGTTTCTTGCTTTTAGTTGAATTTATCATCTTAGATACATGGCCATCTTTATCCATATAGATTGTTAATTCGGTGAACCTAAAGCAATTATTGGAGTTCTGGGAAAAACGGCTGATTGCGATCGGAGAATGGATGATGCATTGCAAAGAATTCGTACAACTACCACTTGATGAAAAGGTTTTAGCTTTCTAAGCTTTTCTTTTCCGGATCTATTATGCCTTTCTGCAGCAGTTGTTTTTTTGCATCTACTTTCCTTCTCCTATTCTCCAAACATTCTACGCATTTTTGGTTTTTTCTTTTGACTTTTAGAAGACATTAGTAGTTCTCTCTTCCTTTTTAGGTCGCGATGTTGAAGAATTCTTGGATGATTTGGCAACGGTTTGAACGAATCACTATGTCAATAGAACTGTTTGGATGGCGAGCCGTAAATGAAAAGGTTGGCGGTCGTGTTCATTTCTGTAATGTATGCTTTTGTCGAAAAAATTATCGACCATTGAAGGAAACCTGGCACATGTTCCTAATAGAAACTGTAATTAACTTAGCCACTGTAGGATATTCTTGTCTTCCTTCCAAAGTTATACCTGAAAGTTTTATTAAAAATACAACTCTCAGAACGTTGAACAATCTCTCTATAACTACAACGTTGCTGAGATATTTGCAAAACATTGGACCACAGGTTTCTATGGTGGGGAACGAACGCGCTATTGTCCTTTCCGGGGAGTATCGCGTTCACCACCACACCATGCGGGCCCTTCTTTTCTCCTGTCTCTCAGCTATTTCTATCGATCTTTTTGCCACAGCAATCACCCGTCAGCGGGGTTGATCTGGGGAGCGTAAATCGGCATAGAACCCAGTTAAGCTATGGCTGTAGTTGAAATCACAATGTTTAACGTTCTGTTTTCTGCCTTCTACAATTTTCATGGCCGGTTACTAAGCGAAATGCAACCACAACGTTGCTGAGATATTTGCAAAACTCTGGACCGCAGGTGTCTATGGTGGGAAACGAACGCGCTATTGTCCTTTCCGGAGAGTAACGCGTTCAAACGAACCCAAACGGAGTAACGAAGGACCGCATGGTTATCCCACTACATACTTTGGTGGGCTGCCTAGGGCATTGCCTTCCCGAAAATAACGGTAAAACTGGAACGATTTACACCAAAGCGTGGCGCTTTTCGTTTTCCATGATCAAGCAAAGCCCACTAAGCGATTCTCGTACGAGCCTGATGAAAATTTAGTCTAGTGATGCCCAGAGGACCCACTAGACGATTCTCGAAACTAAACAGGAGGTTATTGGTTCGCGTACAGTTAGAGTTCACCGTATTCGGATAACAAGAGATAATAGACTCATGAGAAGGTGGAAACATACATGATTCCGTCTCCAATACGAAACTAGGAGTGTCTAGTTTTGAAAAAGTGTTCAATAACTAAGCATCGATGTTATAGTTATTAGCGATCTCTGACGAGAAGGCGATCATCATAGATTCGGTGAAGTTCGACTTTTCTTCACTTACCGACCATGATCCCAGTTATATAAGAAGGTAATCTGTTTGTTTAGAAATTCATTCATCGGATTATATACTGAAGAGGTACAAGCATATGAATTTTGTTTCCTTTCTTAAATGCTTCTCAGCACTGCCTATTTTCTTTCGAATGAGGCCCACAAATCTTATTCACAATGTTGGCACAGAATTCTGAGCAAGACCTAAATGTCTGACTCATTCTTACGGCTCTTTAAATTCAAGGATTTTCGAACCATTCGCTGGTCGTTTCACTGACGAGGTGACGAAGTCTTGCCTAGAAGTTGGGCTTAGCCCCATAGAAGTCGTCTATGTGTTATGCACGTTATCATGGCATGTTGAAGGCTAGTGAATCATTGTTAACGGTGTAATTATTCTTGATTAAACTAACTTATATGACTCGTATACAATGCTGAGATATTTGCAAAACTCCGGACCGCAGGTATACGCGGTGGGGAACGAACGTGCTATTGTCCTTACAGGGGAGTAGCGCACTTCACCACCGCATACACCTGCGGTCCGGAGTTTTGCAAATATCTCATCATTATATACGAGTTATATTCCACAACATACCCTGCCATTAAAAAGAAAAAGGCGGTAAATAAAAGGGTTAGGATTGTAGCTTGTATGAGTTAGTTTCATGAATATGATATGAATCAGTGATGTAAACCATAGACACTGATTACTGCAACCGCTTCAGAGTATGCGTTATCGAAGTCGTTGTTTCATGAATGGATAGGCAAGCGAGGTGTTTCTGGTCTAAATGTTATGTTAAAAAGCCGAAAGTGGGTGATTTACAATATCAGGAATGGATTATTAGGGTTTAGTTGTCGAAAAGGGTGCGGGTGGCGCAATGCTTGGGATGCCCACTAGTGCATGGGTCGTTGCTACGGTTCTACGCTCACACTAACCAGCTAACTGTCATCACTTTAAAGTAGTCAAATTGGTACTAGATTGTCTGACACAAAAGTCTGACTTGACACACATTCGAATGGATTCGAATGCTTGGCTCATCTCTAAGAGACTGACTAATCACAAATGGTTTATCCTTTGTTAACTTTTAATTTACTGCCTGTTACAATTTTTATGGCAGGGTAGTATGTGTGATACAACCACAATGATGCTGAGATATTCGCAAAACACCGGATCGCAGGTGTCTTCCGTTGACGGGTGATTCCTGATGCGGTCTGGGGTTTTGCAAATATCTCAGCAACGCTGTGGTTTCACTTCAACATGGTTGTGGCTTTATCCTTTGTCCGTTTAACCAACAGAAGATTAGTAGTTGCAGGTGTCAAGCCGGCGGATAACTTCGCAAAGGTTACTATCATGAAAAGCTCTGTCCAGTTCCTTCAGTTTTAACAAAGTTTTCAGGAAGATCGGTGAGTTCGAAAACTCAGTCGATAGCGGAAATCTATCGAGAGCATATATCTGACAATTTACACGATTACTATACCGTAACGATGAAAACACCGAATTATGCTGGTCGTCTTATACGAATCATGTCCATCGTCCACTGCATTGAAGTGAGTTTGAGAGTTTGGCCAGCCAGTATTTTAAGTTTTTCACTGTAGATCTTTTCTGACATTTCCTTCCTTGCAAGCTTATATTATCCTTATAGAATATCCACTATGAAAGGTCAAAGGTCATGGAATTGGCACGGATATTCGACATCTTTAAGATCGAAGCCTCTGAGAAGGGAATGTTCGACTGCTAGAAAAAGAGATTTCTCTCTGTTCTTCTCACTTTTTTTAACAACAGTCTCATGCTCTTTTGTCATCTCAACTCTAGTTAGAACCACCCTGTTCTCCACTGAAATCCGGAAAACACGGCCCAGTTTGTGCTGGACCGAGTTTTCTGATCCAACTTTCTAAGCCAAAGGTGATAGACCAAGTATTTTTGAAACAAAAATATTAAAGATAAACTTCTAATCTTTTCACTCTTAAAATAAGTATGTTGAGTTAGGAAGATATAAGATTACGATGGAAAGGAGAGTGTTCAACCATAACATATGAAATAACGTCTACAAATCCTCTGTCACAGGAGTGACAACCAAGCCTACACTACGCCAAACATAATTTTCGAACCTTTTTATTATCTCATTCTAACATTCTAACAAATTCCGACACTGTGACGTCTTCATTCGTGACTTCCTAAACTCTTGTGTCAATGCCATGCTCACAGGTTTTTATAGCACATGATCAATGTCATGGTAAAACGAAACCATTCCAAGAAAGTATTTTTTAAAGTTTTTCAGTTGGGGCTTCCTTCCAAGCAGTAAATAAACTAGTAAAAATTTATTAGAACTGGTGTGAAATGCGTTTTCCTCATGGTTTAGCGCTTCATCGTGGTTAGGGAGTGTTCCCGGTTCCTGAAGGGACCCAACAAGATACACTAGGTTAAGAAGACTTGACGTTTCCATCTGGAATTCCAAATAGAACGTTTTACTAAACCACTAGCCCCAATTTGACAAATTTTTCTTCGCTCGAAAATGTCAGGCAAGCAAATTGCTAGAAAAAGGAAATGTGCCGGGTTTCGCATAACTTTTTAAATGGTCAACGCCTATGGGGAAGAAGTGTGAACGCTCTAGTGCGGAACCTTAGAACTCCTGAGAAAACCATGCTTAACCAGCTTTCAACACTTTAATAAAGAAGGAAGACGACAGAGCACTAAAAAACAACTGAATAGATCAGACGGACGAATGAACGCTAACACTTCAAAGTGATAACTGTGAAAAGGATAACAAAACGAATGCTGCTGGGATCGCAAACAAGGGATCGCAGGGGATCGCAAACAATATAGGAGGGCGGGCAATCTAAGCATCTAAGTTCGGACTAGAAGTAGCGTGACCATGGGCATATATGGATGGAAAATACACCGTAGTAAACTGGGGAAAGGTTCTTATCCGGACAAGTCTGCAAACTATTAAACACATTACATAAAGGATAAAAGATAACGCTCTCAGAGTTGATCAAACCCTGAGGGATGCGCTATGCATTCGACTTCACCAAACATTGTTTGAAGGTGACTGAATTCATATCTACTGTTTTCAATGACTCCCAATGGCCTACCGATGTATCGAGCCAGTGTTACGCGCGGGGATCGATTCCACGTGTGTTGCAGTGCGCCTCCGACCACTGCGCCAGGCACTATACACAAATGTAGGACTCGTGAATGGATTATTTTATGCCCTACCAAATATGTTACACTTCCAGATTTAGTTATGTACAGACTCAGACACCCATAAGGTTAAAACGAAAACACGAAAAAGGACATCCTTGCATGTAGTCTGGTTGCTTAGCACATTTCCTTCTCTCTTCAAGGGTCAAATATTTTCGCTTTTCGTGCCCAAAAAACTGTAGCTTCATTCGTACATCTTATTTTATAGAAAAGACATTCAAGAAACACGACAAAAATGTAAATCAAGAAAAATTCTTCACGAAGTAGATGTGCCGTTAAGTTCCGCTTTTACTTTCTCGACGACGGCACGACGGGCGGCCAGTGTCTCGTCTACTCCGAGTGCATTTAGACCTCCGCGCATCATACCCCTGAAATATAGCTAATTATAGCCACCATTGATTTGAAAACATTTAAAGATAGAATGTTCAAGTTATTTAAAAAACCAAGAAAGAGTCAGCCCAACTTATTTGAATGGTTATGAGAATGTTTCAGTGACGAGATATCACTATTGATTTCGTGAAATCTCGACAGCATAAACTCATTTGCAAGCAAAAATTTATCCTTTACCACTATTTTTTAATCCTTTTTATTTAACAAGTTCGATTTACATCAACTATAAAGGTTTTTCCTTCTAATAAATCTCATCACACCTGGCTGCCTTTGCAGTTCGTGGACGTTCTTGGGCAGCTCGCGTACTTATTTCCTGAAAAGCATACTCACTATAAATTACTGGACAAACCGATTCACTGACCCATAATAGTCTTTAACCCTGAAATAAGCCTATTTAATGACCAAGTGTACATTTACTTTAGTCCACGCTCGACGGTATAAAATACGATGCGCACCATCCGCTTGTATTAATGGAACATTATACCTAAATTTCATTCAATCTTGAAAACGCTTCAGTCTATGTTGAGCTATTTCCTTGCAAAACTTATGATTCTTGAAGATTTAGATTAACCTAAAATAGTTTCGCATTTTGCATTTCAGATAAGCATAGCTACAGATAACCACAGTGATCCTGAGATATTTGGAGAGCTCCAGACCGCAGTTGCCCGCTGTGTGGATCGAAATCGTTATAGTCCTTTCCAAGGGCTACCATGTTTACCACCACACCATGTAGGTCCTTCATTTCCCCTTCTCTCAGCAGACTTTTGACCTATCGGTGTTGTCAGCAATCACCAGTGAACGGGATTGGTCTAAAGACCACGAATCGGCATGAACACACTTAAACTGAAACTGTAGTATAAATCACAATGAAGTCACTTGTAGTATATACAGGCACAGATGTATGCACAGACACACTACACACAACGAAGAACTGCAATAGTTAGTGTCTTCCATATATAAAAGAAAAATCGATTTAGCCTCCTCAGATTAACCAGTTTCCACTTTCAAGCTATAAGACGATTCTACTCATTTTATTCTAAAGCCAAGACCTAGTGAACTGATATTCGACAACAACGCGATGGCAATCATTCTTTGAGGTGGGATTACATAATGGTTAATCAATAGTTTTACAGAATGCCTTTGCAGAACAGTGTTAGAGATCTCTTAATAACTCGAAAAACCGACTTTCTATAAACCTCGCCATGGATAGTTGATATATTTATTTATGTGATCTTATAAACTGATCTTCTTAAGCTTACGCGAGGTTGGTACAGATCTTCGTTGTCGTTGTCGTTGTTTTTGATGTTGCTGGTTGATGGCTCGATGGAATCTGTACCCAGAGGAGTGTCTTGACAAGCCAGTCCCGCACGTAACATCACGGCTCTGAGGAAGGCGAAGTCGCCGAAACGTCAGCCATCGATCAATAACATCAAAAACAACGACAACGACAACGAGGATCTGTACCAACCTCGCGTCAGCTTAAGAAGTGTTAGAGATGTTCAAAATGCGTAAGGTCCTCTTTTGACCAACTACGACACAACCACTATTTGACCTATTAGGGGTCGGAAATTGGTAGCAGACGTCTCTGGGGAGCTCCCTCAAATATACGAAGACTCGCAACTTCATTTGGTGAAGGCCAGAGAGTGCCACAGCACCACCATCCTACGATCTATGGAGGATCGACCTACATTCAATGACATTCATGAAGAAGACCAAAATTTTGAAGCAGCTGTGCGGCCTACATGAAAACGTGGAAACTTCGTGCTATATGATAGAATGTCAGAAAACAAACTGAATGAGAAAAGTGTTGGAATTGTGGAATGTGAAGTGGAATCATATGGAAAGAAAAGCAGGACGTTGCAACACACAACAATTACGTAAGTCCGTGAGATGATTAAAGTTTCTAATCACGTTACAAGTAAAAAAGTGAAACACTTTGTAGTCTCGAATTTAAGGACGAAAAATGATAGTGGTACGCCGAGGTATTTCAAAGTTCAAATAAAAATTGAAACTGTTGTCACGAGCGCTATTCTGCTCCTTTCTAGCTCTACTACTGTTATGGCACATTTGAGCGTATAAACCCATTTCTGAATCAACGAATCACATTCGGTTATGTACGTACACTCATCTGTTTTTCGCGTACTATGGCCTTCATTTGCAACAGTCGGTCTCTTTGCATTCGTAGGTATTCCTCACGACTACGTACTGCAGCGGAATTCAGCCTATTTGGCTCTTGAAGTAGTGCCTCAAAATTAGTCACTCATGAAAGAAAGTGGTGTTACAAAACTACAAGCTTAATAAGAACGAATCAATAAAAGTTTTTTAACTACTGATGTTGAAAAATCTGAAAGCTTACCAGCACTTAACTATAATAGTGACAAAATTTCAGTTGCGATGGTACGGGAGCTATATGAGAGAGGTGAACCACCACTTCTTCTCTGTTTGGTGATTGTAGATTGTTCCCATACATTAGGTTACTGTTGTTCAGTAGTTAAGCGACACACAGTGGATGATCGCTCGACCGATAAGTTATTTAATTAGCAGGCCACAGTGCCCATACATGAGTACGCTACAGTATGCAGACGTTACATACAATGAGTCAGATTTTATCCCGCAATAATGATCCATTCACTAACGACATCAGAGTTATACGAGGTATTTCGTCAACGATGCCTCGGTTCTTCTACACCCTTAGCTTCTTCATTGATGAATATCTTTTGTTAAATATACGTAAGCCAATAAATCACACACTTGCCCTTCCATGAGGAAGTCAACTCTTACCGATTAATTGCGCTTGTTGTCTTTCTTTAAGCTTTCTTTAAGAAACCGAAATCAATTCATCGAACAATCAAAATTATGAATCGCTTCTCCGTCTGAAATAACACCGTTGCAACAGATAGCGATTCCCCCAACACCCACGTTCACGTCATAAATGTTCTTCCCACGTGGCCCATAAATAGCTCCGGGTTGTTCTTTCTCTGCTCCGGCTTTTTTGTCAGTGCTCAAATTGCCATCGAGTCTTTTTCTTTCGCTTGATGGCTGAAATGCTAAGAATTGCAAATAATAGAAACCATTTCAATTTAACAAATAGCAACGTTAAAATTATTGAATTTAGCTGTGATTCAAGTGGAAAAATACCGATAGATCAAGTCAGTGTTTTCATGCCTGCAGGCAAATATGGTGGAAATTTTCCGGCCCCAGAAAGATGGAAGATTGGTTGCTTTCGGGTGCGGTATCTAGCCAAAGACCGCGGTGAGAGAGAGCCAAAGACCATAGGAATCGTATCCATCTCTAATCACTACACTGCACGAACTCAATAAACAAGTATTATCACCAAAATATCTTTAAGCTCATAAAAAGAAAAAAATTCGAGGTCACACAGGACTACAGCAGATTATGGTTCAACGATAGCAACTCAATGGAAATCAGCAATTTCTTGAAGTATACAGCAACCCCATGCCACACTGACGTTCAGCTTCCATAACACGAAGTAGACGGAACGGTTAAATGTTAGAGTAGACAATTTTCGGAACAGTATGAGTTCAGCTCTCCATATTCCTGGGCCCCATCATAAATCCTTCAGATGCACTTACACGTCTTCCCTTTACTGATGCGCTTTTTACTAATGGCTTCTTCCCCACTTTTTGAGGAGTATTGGCTCGTTTTGCTGTAGGTGGCCGCTTGCTTTCCCTGAAATAAACTGAATATTTATGAGCTTTGAACAAGTCATCGGAATTAACCAACTTTTTCTCTTCCTCTTTCTCTTCATTGTGTCCAACCACATCATGTACCTTCGCCAATGTCATACTGTCATCCGTATTTTCTTTTTGATCCTTTTGAGAAAGCAAAGATGATTTCAGAGCCTTATTTTCAGTGGCCTCTGCCCGATTTCTCTTTGTTTCGGTCTCCTTGCTGGATTTCACCTCGGCATGTGTAATTATCGACGACTGTTCACTATGGCCCACTGAGCTCGATTTTCTCACTGGTGAAGCGTCCATTATTTTCGTAGACTTGGTTGAGGTCGATAGCACTTTCTCCGCCGAATTTTCCACTGCCTTAAATATACGTGCAAGAATTATTAACGTAACCAAATTCCAGCGGAGTTTTTTCAAGTTTAAGTTTAATATTTTGACTCAAAGATTGGTAAGCAACCAAAGGTGATCTATGCATTCGGAGATACATAAACGGCATTGAAGCAAGTTTGCAAAATTCATCTCAACAATATTTCAAAACCGACTTTCCTTTAACCTCGGTATGACTAATTAACATATGTTCTTTCTTTGATAACCTTTCACGATGATATTTATTCGGCTAATGTTTCGGTGTCTTCGTCTTCATCAAAGCCAACGATCCGTGTCGACAGTCCACGTTTGTCCTTCGTCTTGATGTGGCGTCTTCGCCTTCGTATCGAGTTGTGTCTTCTTCGGCGGACCATCTCCCGAATGAGGCATACTCACTTGGTGATGCCATTTTATGCAAGATGCTAATGGTTGATAGCTGTGATTGTCCGGTGATAGTAATTTGTTTTTCCCTGGCAATCAATCCTGCGGAAGTCGGTACCATTATCAGCTAGCAAAGAGCAGTAACAATATTTCTGAAGATGATGAAGACGAAGACGTCGAAACCTTAACCGAATAAATATCATATATCAACCTCATTTAAGCTTATCGAAAAAAGAACACTCATTTCATCAGTTTCTACTGCGGATGTTGACATAAGAGAAATGATTGAAACGCGCATAGGAATAGTGGAGATGTTCACCTCTTCGGCTTGAGAGAGAGCTAGAGAGAACAGTTCTTGTTCTTTGCCTTGCTCCTGCTCGAGACGACGCCTTTCTTCCTCACTACTACGCAACAACTCTTCCAATTCTTCAAGTTCAAGTTTACTGAGATTGTCAAACTCTTCTTTGCTTTGCCTACAATTGATAAATTGGTAAAGAACTCAGGTATTCTTGTGCTCACCCCACCTCATCACTGCAATCAACACGTATCTTTCGGTTTCCTCTGGTGAAAAAAGTCGGGGTTTGTTCCTGAGTGTCTCGCCATCTTCTATTTGTAAAACAGATGGAATCAGGCCGCACATAAACTGAAATAGAAACTCAGGCAGTGGCTTCAAATCAATCAAATAAATTTGTATTTTGGCAAAATTAACAAAAGTTATTTGATCTACTAAGTATACTTAAAGATGTAAGGAAAATTTGCCGCAGTATTTTGCGGTTTCCATATCTATTAATGGGGCTATTAATGGGGCAACAGTGGGCCTAATTTAGCAACTTTATCAGAAAACGCTCCGTTCCATCCGTAGAGTGGTTTCCAACTAACAACCAACATTGCCTTAATAACTCCAGCAAATCAGCCAACAGTCTCTCGAAGACAGCAAATCCTGTCGAAGTACTGAATGGGATATGGACATTACAACTCAAAAGACCAACCTCCTATAAAATTCGGTATAAATAGCCTTAAGGCGTTTTGGATAAATTTCGAAGTCAAAGGAGGGTCCAGAAAGACGAATGCCTCACTATCACACATGAACCGGCGTCTTTTTTTAAATTGATTTTTTTACCAAGGTTGGTTTCAGTCGTTAGCTCAGTGAAAAACAAACAGGGTATCACACATCTAACAAAACGGGAAGTTCTTTACTGAAAATGGCGTTCACTTGTATACCAGATCTTTATTAGTCCTATAGTTCACCGAATTATATCGATGTCATTGAAGAAAACACGGCCAGGCTATGAAGAAGGTGAAGTTGCAGAAACATCAGCCAGCGAATCACGACAACAACAACAACAACAACAACAACTGATACTATCCTCGCGTTAATTCAACAAGGGCAGTTCGTAGGAACATGGGCATCAAGTAGAGCCACTATTTAGTTCCAGTGATCCCTACAGATTGAGCTTGAGAAATTGTGACCACTTCTTCGACTGTTCACGAGAGTTGTCTTGGAGAAATGTCTGCTCCTCATGGATTCCAAAGTGTGAAAGCGTGACTCTCGCAGCTACAGAATGGAAAATAAAAAATGCCATCAGCGGCTTACCTCAATCATTTGCAATGCCTGTAGCTGCAGCTCAACGTTTTTTCTCATCATCATAGGCACGAACACATTGAAGTTTCCTGCGGCTGCAATCGGCTCGAGGCTTGTCTAAAGCAAAATAAATTCATTTGATACTGCTGTCATTTCTATTTTTCTGCTGTTATTTTCTTCCACAATTCTCCTTCACTGAGATTTGGTCAGCCATTCAATAGGTTACGGTGCTGGTTGCGAGGCAATGGTGCGTGTCCACAGGCGTTGGATTAGGGTGTGACCAAAGGGACTCTGTGCTTCTCTGATACTTTGCCGGAATCAGGTGGTGAACTCCTTGTTTCCGCTGCATAGATTTCACACATATCTTCTTTATATATATATATATATATATATATATATATATATATATACCTATGCAAGTTCACGTGTTTGTTTTGGAGTGTTCTGCTCTATGCAGATTTCATTACACAATTCGATCATAGAAACCTACAATCAAATGACTGAGAAATACATGAAAGGTGGTCAAGTTGTTTCTAACAAATAAGCTTACTTTTACTCTGGGAAAGACCTCTTCCTGCCTTGACACATGTGTCAAAAGACTGATCGTGGCAAAATCAGAACGAATGACCACCTCTTGTTATCAAAGGCATCCTCGCGGGTACGGCGCTAGATACTCCAAATCATGGAAGAGGGAGAGAGAATCCGACGTCCAGAGCTACGTCAGCGATCAAATACTGAAGATGCCACAAGCAATCACCCGTCAATGGGATTGATTTAGGGAGCTTAAGTCGGCAACGAACCCAGTTAAACTGAGGCTGTAATCGAAATAAAAGTAGATTAAAAGTTAACATTGTGATTTCGACTACAATCTCAGCTTAACTGGGTTCGTTGCCGATTTGGGCTCGCTAGATCAATCACGTTGGCAGGTGATTGCTGATGGCACTGATCGACAGAACTAGCTGAGAAACAGGCGAAACGAAGGACCTGTATGGTGTAGGTGGCGAACGCGTTAGTCCCCATAAAAGGTAATAGCGTAATAGCGTGTTCTTTCACCACCGCAGACCCCTTCGGTCCAGAGTTTTGCAAATATTTCAGTAACATTGTGGCTGAATCCAGAACGTTCGTCTGGAAAAGCCAAGAAGAGAATACCGATGAAGAGAATTCGATAGGATTGGCGTTTCCGTAGTAAAATTGTTAGCCGCGTCAAGTAGAAAAACCAGAATTAACGGAGTTTCGACTGGAAATGAGGAATTGCAAAGACGACGAGTGCAATCAAATGGATCGCCTTATGAGCATGACGCTTGGAGTTTGACCTCGACATGAAAGAAAAGATTTTTTACTGGTTGGTGGAAAGTCGTGCGTGCACTATTGAAGAAAGGAAGCGCTGAAAAGGTGTAACGATTCTAACAATTCTGCGAAATAAAAACACACCTAAGGGTAAGAAAACAAAAATATATGTTAGCTTAGTACGGGACGAATGCCCGATTTCAAGATGTATCTTACAAAGGCACACTCAGATCAGAATAATTTTTTGGCAACCAGAAACTTTTTCACTTATACGCCTAAAATTCTGGAATTATAGAGGTGATAAAGTCGGTGACAGCAATTTTCGCTTCGACCTGGTCTCTGGAGCGTTTATCATATAGAAATTTGTAGAAACGCTTGAAGAGGTGAGATTCGGTATAAAGGAGGTTTGGTGAGCATGGTGAATGAGTAAGTGCTTCGTAGCACAGTTGATCCAGCATTTACAGCCTCGATTGTGTGCCGTGTGGCGGAAAGACATGTTGAGGAAGGATTCATCCGTCTCTGTTGACACCAATACGGTGCACAGCTTCTGACCTTTCTAGTGAATTTCGACGATTTCTGGACGCACTTTTCCGCCGTAATCGCTTAATTACGATTCGTGAAGGCATGATGAATTAAACTAGCAGCAAGGCACCGAACTTTCAGCAGGACTTTCTTTAACTGCAATTTAGGCTTTGCTAGTTCAGGAAGTGTCATAGTGACCCAACCACTGAGCCGATCGTTGATGACTGTCGTAGAAGACCCATTTCTCGCCGCATTGCACAATACGGTAGAGAAACGGGTCGCTTGGGTGACGCAAAAAAGGCGCCGAAGATACTTCAAAACGACGATTTCTCCTATTGTTATTCAATTCACACGAAGCCTATTAGTCGAGCTACTTTGGTCTTCTAATGTTTTTATAGGAGACGAAACGGTTGAGATTTTGCAACAGAGTTTTCTGCAAATTTTTGAACAGTTGTGCGTGCACATTTTTCTACATGTAAGCCTTCAAGCCATGGTCGTTCGTAGGAGAAGCACGTCCACGACCCCCTTATGGAATTCGCCGCGACGAATTTCTCCACGCTGCGATTCCAATGTGCGTTCTATAACAGTTGCTCGCCGCTATAAAAGGATAAAGCTCTTGGCTTTGATCAATTCCTGAAGGATGCGCTATGCATTCGACTTCATTAAACATCGTTTGGAGGTGACTGAATGCATAGCTGGCCCTTACAATAACTCGCGGTGGACTACCGATATATTAAGCCAGTGCTGCTAACCTCACAGACAAGTCTAGTACCAATTTGCCGACTCCGGAGAGATGGAAGGATTGGTAGGCCATGTGCGCCGGGATCGATTCTACGTGTGTGTCGCAGTGGCGCCTCCAACCGCTGCGCCGCACTCGCCACTATACCCCATATATATTTCGAACCGTTTAGATCTACTACGTACGACTTTAAATTAGTAAAATTAGATCAGTCGAAATTCCTCGTTTGACATCTGGAATTTTGTTCTTTAAGATGTGTTAAAAACATAATGTATGTTACGTATTCGGATTCTAATTATACAGTTACACAGATTGTCCATTTATGTTACATATTTATATCATATTTACACAAACGGCGCGTGTGGCGCAGTGGTATGAGGGGCCTTATAACACACATATGGTCGATCACCACGCCCATGACTCACAAATCCTTCCATCATTACGGGGTCGTCAAATTGGTACCAGACTTGTCTGAGAGGATAGCAACACTGGTTTGATACAACGGTAGGCCACCACGAGTCATTGTAAAGTTCAGGCATGCATTCAGTCACTTCCATATGATGCTTAATAAGGTCGAATGTATGCCGCATCCCTCAGAGAATGATCAACGTCGAGAGTTTTATTCTTTTCATCCCTTATGTTAATACAAAAGTAGAATCCATACCATATATTTATATTATATCCTTATTTTCCGTCTATTATTATTCTTTACGGTAGGGTATGATATAATATAGAATCACTATGAGGCCGAGATACTTACAAAATTTGCACCCCAGCCCGGATTCGAACCTGTGATTACACCGTCCGGAGGGCTACGTGTTACCCACTGAACAAATGAGGCCTTAATTTGCTTTTCTCTGAGCCGGTTTTCTGCCTAATAGTACCAAGTAATGGTAGGAAGAAAATGAAAAGTTAAAACATTGCCACTTCGACTACAGTCTTAGCCTAACTAGGTATAATGGCGATCTGTGCTCGCCAGGTCATTCCTTTTGACCGGTGATTACTGATGGCAGTGCTAGAGAGAAAACCGGCTGACAGAAAGTCAAAGAAAGAGCCTCACTGGTGCAGTGGGTAACACGTGAGCCGACGAAAATAGTAGTCGTGGGTGTGGATCAGGCACGGGTGCAACTTTTGCAAATATTTCAGAATCTTTAACCGTTTTATTTACTGCCTACTCTTTTTAATGGCAGGGTATATTGCGAAATATAATTTCAATGATGCTGAGATATTTGCAAAACTCCGGACCACAGGTGACTGCGATGGGGAACGAACGCGCTATTGTCCTTTCGCGTTCGCGTTCACCACCACACCATGCGGGTTCTTTGTTCCGCCTGTTTCTCAGGTAGTTCTACCGATCACTGTTGTTGTTGTATTTCGCATAACACCCTGCCGTAAAAATTGTAGGCAGAAAATAAAAAGCAAACCTTGCTAGAAATAGTTCAGACAACAGCTGCGGGTTGACTACAAAGACCCTGGCTAGCGTTTGGATATGCCCCCTGCTGCATGATCTTCTTCAGAATCCTATTTGCTCTCGTTGTTGACCATTATTCGAAGTTTTGGCAGTGCGAGACTGTGTGATGGAATAGCCTTCGTTAAAAGTTCATGAAACATACTTGATAAACAAATCAGACTGCATTGGTGAAGATACTGTCGGTCCCTAAGAAGGATGACCATGCGTGGAGTCTTCCACTGATCTGAGACCATTTGGTCTTGAAGAAAAGCTGCTGAGAGAGCTGGGTCGTTCCGGATCTTTTAGCTTGAAACAAATAGGTTCCTACATTGTTTCGCCTTTTGGTCGTTTCATCCAGCGAAATTCACTTAAGCAAAGCTTTACTGTTATTATTTTCATATCACTGGAAAAAATATTGGAAAGTCCTTCTTCGTTCAGCAAATTGACAACAGTCCATTAAATTGATGGTCTCGACGATGTCTTCTAGACTCGGTTTTCTTTGGAGCTTTGCCGAACAATTTTCTTATATATACCGCTAAATAACCTCCTATTGAGTGCCTTCTGCAACTTGGATTGATAATAGCTGCGCAGAAGTTAGATCTCAATTCAGCTTCCTTGTTTTATTGTATACCTATCTATTCAGTGTTTTGATATTACGATCTGAACCTGCTGAATCAGCTGATTTAAAAGCACCCGTGATTGGAGACTGGAGCCAGAGCGTTTCTGCTCATTACATAAAGACCGTTTATGAGCCATAAAGTTCGACAAGTCAGTATCAGAATAGACGATAAAGCTTTCAGTGTTGTTCTATGTCGTAGGGATGTGCCATGCACCACACTCCAATGTAGAGACGACTGAATACATATTTGACTATTGGAATGAATTATAATGACTTTGCGATGTACCGTCATTATTTCGACCCTCTATATAATATCCCTGATATTACCGAATCGAATAATTTACCGAATCCGGAGAGATACGGGAAGGCACGTTAGTGCATAATCTAATCAAAAACCGTATTCATGGCGAAGACACCTCCGACCTCCGTGCTACACACTCTTTGGTAGGTGAGCGTACTTTAATAATAGTATTGGTACTAATCACACACTATTAGAACAGCAGAAATTCGAAAAATACACTTGCCTTCTGCCGAATCGTTAATTTATCGGCTTCTGCGTTTTTGAGCTCTTGACGAAGAGAATCCACCGGAATACCCGAATCAGCACAAAAGCATTCAGTTAAGGTGTCCACTAACTCTATGAATTCCTTATGTATTTTCTCATACATTGTGATGCTTCCTTGTTGTCTGTCGAAAACTGAAAAGATTCTTGTTCGCTTTAGGAATTTTTTCCACAGCCTGTTGTTTTTTATGTGATTACGATTGATTGGACCTCTGTCATTACTAAAATTCCCGTCAATGTTATGTTAATGAAGGCCCACCCATCTAATCTGCTTTCACTGGCCCTTAGGGCCCTCAGTTGTTTATTACCGGCTCGGCATAGCAGGTCAGAACTACTAAGCATAGTACTGCAATGTACAACAATATGTTCAACTCTGACTAAAACGAACAGTAGTGAGAAAGGATTCAAGATTTCCATCTGGATGGCACACCTATAACTAAAACATGGAAGAAATTTCTGCGACCTTGGAAGGAATCTGCTTACAAGGCAGTGAACCTCCCTCTGATTTACAAGACCAAGAAGTTCCTTTAAAGACGACTTGGGATGGTCTTTGCATGGATGCCTTGGAGCATCATCGAAAAAACCAGTTAACCAGTTAACCTCAACTAGCAAAGTACCAGTGATATGGACAATGTGCTTGTGCACATATGCTCGAATATACAGACTCATAATAATGTGGTACATTTTGAATTTGGTTCTTCTTTACTTATAAGCTACTTAAATTCTATTTGCAACGCTGCAGCTACAGTACTGTATTGCTGTGACTGCTGTAGCAACACAATCGCGCTGAGACACAAAAGCCCTTCAATCGATACCTTAGCATTATCTCGCTCGTAATTAAGCTTAACTTAAGGCGAAATACTCAAGTAATATTGATAATACATGGTATTAATAACAATTATCTAAAGTATTCGAGCAATTGGAGCAGACTCTGGCCAGGCCGACCTCGAGATTCCAGAGAACCACAATGGCTCAGCTGGGAAGTCTGCAAAGGAAAAAAATTTGAGATTGTGCTGGCGCCCGCCACAACTAGTGAAGACGGGCCGTCCAAGCATCCAAGTAATTAAACAGCATACGTTTACTTCTATACATTAACACACATACAACACAACCGTAGCTAACGTTTCGGCAGAATCGCCTTCTTCAGAGTCGCTTTTTTCCACCGACCAAGAACAACCGCTCAGAGTCGTATATGGTTGACGACTCCGACTGATGAGAGAGAAAACGATACATTATAATCCAATGCCGAGGTTAATAGAAAGTCGATATCCTTAATATCCTTATCATAATTTTTCTCCTCATGATAGCAAAATTAATACCTTAGAAATTACATTCTCCATCTAAACGACTATAACAATCCGAATATCGATACTCGCCCTTACTGACGACACAATCACGATGACGTACAGTGTTTTCCAGCGAAGGTGAGTCCAACCATTATCACCTAATTTTATTACTCCCCATGTACAAGGCATAAGGTATAAGACGTCCAGCGGTGATCGGCGACTGAGGGACGGGCTGATCAAACCAATGTTTCCATCCACCCAGACAATTCTTACATCAATTTGTAGCACCCAGAAACGTGGAAAGATTGTTTACATCTGGCTACAGAGTCCCACCAACAACCACGTGTATATTCCAAGACACCTCTAAGAAGTGTGCTACACTTGTCCTCTGCTCTGTCAACTTATTTTTACCATTAAATAAGGCCGTAATTACGAATTCATTTCAGAGCAACGTTTGGACTAATTTCATTTGTCAATTTGCAAAAACGTTCTCAACTCACCTACTGAACGATGTTCTATGAAATTGGCGATAGGCAAAACCCATATAGGTGAATCGATGAATTCGAGGAACTTCTCAATTATATTTTTTCCGCTTGATGAGTTTTTTCGTGCTAAGCGCCGGAGCATCTCGCCACCTCTGTGGTGTGCTTTTATAATACTAGGAGGAAAAAAGACTTAGTGAGGACATAGAAAGGAAGTGTTATAAGAAAGTGGATATTAGAATGTGAGAAAAATGACACATGCGATTCATTTCCTGTATGTGACCAAACATAGGCCCTGATTCTCTCGAAATGGTTGTGGAATAGATGGTCATTGACTACTTGCTGACTGCGGGTTTCCTCTAGCCTCAACCAACCGTTTTTACCCCCTTAGAAGATATTTTCTACAGAACTGCTAATGCCCTTGTTCATAGAAAGGATTTAGATGATGTCAGATCATGATTTTCAGCAAAATGAAGCATATCTATGAAGTACTAGTGGAGGACTGCAACCTAACGAAGTGCTTTCGTTGCGTTCCCACTCACCTCTGACTCAGAAGGACCGTGTGGAACAACACAGTTGAACGCACTAACAAAAATATGCATGAAAATAAGGGCTAAGATACAAAGGAAAACAGTATACAATTGAAAAATTTCAATCCATAGTTGAATTAGATGAAGGGTATTCATTTGTTCAGAAGAATGATCTAGGTGTAAAACAACGAAACCATGGCAACCGCAACTGCAGGGCTTCCCGGCGACGGCTACAAGAGACGTCGCGAAACGACGAATGCTGATCGCACGGATTCGAGGCCACTCCACTAATTCCTTAGCAAATAACGTTTTAAAACGCTTCGATTTACTCAATATAGGGACTTAGTCCAAAATATTTCAAAATGTATTGAAAACGCTCCCAAAAGTCTTGAATTAAGCTCAAGTTCTGGAAACATCACGTCCTCTTCAAATCTGAGTGTGCCCACATGATATTATGGGCCTTGCAAGACTGATAACTGGTACCGTTGGTATAACTTATTCAATGTTATGCATAGTTGGATACTTAATCTACCACTCGAAGGAAATTTTCTCTTCAAAGATCAGGAAGTCTAGGATTCCACGAAAACTGCTTGTTTCCTCTAACATCGTCACAGTAACGGAATACACATAGTCTTCCAAGATCACAGGAGAACTGACCGCTCTCTATTTCGGCTTGTCACTAAACATTGAGATCGAAGTGCTCATCTCTTATCATTGTGTGTGTAATAAACTGACTTCAACTAGTGTGATATCCCACTGTAGCCTTTGTAAGAAGATTTATTTGAAAACGCGCCGTTTCAATTACAGCCAGCGCTTCCATCGTATCTTATCAAGCTGAACCTTTGATTCGTCATAACTAAAACATGATGAACGTTTGGTTTAATCCATAGCAACATTTAATATACATTGATTCCATAACAGCATTCAACACGTAAAGCACCGAAGCTTCGAGCGAAACAAGCAAATAGAAAGCTAATAAGAACACGCCTGGCATTTTCATATATAGCAGATACAAAACCAAATTAACAGCAGCAGTCATGAAGCGTATAGAACCCGTGTAATACAATGAAATACAAAAAAAAAACACCTTCAGATCGAACTTCTATCCCGGGTCTCTAGTTTCGAGATTTGAAGAGCATTGATCCCAACATAGCCTTTTAAGCATTTGAAATCTGTTTTTATGAAAATTCTTTTAGTTTACAGATTATGGAAGAAATAAAATCAAACCTCCTTCTACCAAAAAAAAAAAAACGGAATAATTGCAAGTCGGTAGTCTATTGATCACTCTTGAAGCAAAGTAAGAAGGCCCAGAATCGAAATTCAAAGCGATGATGTCTCAGTCACATAACATGGTGCCGACAATTCAGCGAACTACGTCAACTAATCTAAAGGTCTTCAATACAAACAAGTTGTGCATTAGGAATGCAACATAACGGTGACAATGTCTAATGATACACCGTGCATTTACACTAACATCCTGAGTACAGACGGGTTGCATCAATAAAAAACAAAAACAATCGTCTCCAAATCCTTATCAGGAAATCGATATTGACAACCCAAGAATTAGATGCCGAACATTCACTTCGGTGACTGAGGTTGGTTAAGTGGTGGGTGAGACGATAAAGTATTAGAATCCTTTCGCTTTGGAATACCCATATTTAACGAACGGGTCACAGGAGGTGCACTAGGCTTCACAAATATTTCGTCAGCTGCGTCTAAAGAAGAACCAGACGACAATCCGGAAGCCTGAAACTTTTTGCTAAGCATTTCAATCATATCTTTGAATGAAGATTTCTGTACTGCCGAATTGAAATTGTGTAACCAACTCTTCCACTAATCGGTTCTAACAGAACTGGCATAGGATTTTCCAATTGCCTGAACAAGTTCACTCTATCGCGGACAATACCCTGCTTTTCAATAGCAGCCACAGATGGACGAAAGCATGGGCCGAACCTCTCTTTCTGAAAAACACAACTCAGATATAACCATGCTACCACACTCCGCCATTAGCAAAAGATTTTCAGAATTCAACACAATTAGAAAGTTACCAACACCACATAGCAACACTCACAATATCTTTGTCACATCTCGCACTTAAAATAGCTGCTTTAATAACATTCGATGAAGAAAACATATCCTCGTCAATCGTCAGAGTACTATCGGAATCTTCGTGAGATATTCCAGCTCCGAACGTCAAACCGGGTTCTAAAACATGACCGCTCTCCTTGGTCAATGAAGTCGGCAATGGCATCTAGAAAAAAGAAACATCGATAGAAAACAAGGTTTTCAAGTAAAAATGCAAGAAAAGTGGCTTGTGCACTTCCAAAGAAGAAAAAGAAAAAACTTACCTCGTATATAATTCTGAGATATTTGCAAAACACCGAACCGCAGGTGTATGCGGTGGGGAACGAACGCGCGCTATTGTCCTAACCGGGGAGCAGCGCACTTCACCACCACACCATCCGGGTCCTTCGTTTTGCTTGTCTCTCAGCTAGTTCTATCAGTTAGCTAGCTAGAAGGACCCGGATGGTTTGGTGGTGAAGTGCGCTGCTCCCCGGTTAGGACAATAGCGCGCGTTCGTTCCCCACCGCATACACCTGCGGTCCGGAGTTTTGCAAATATCTCAGCATTATATACGAGTTATATTTCGCAACATACCCTGCCATTAAAAAGAAAAAGGCAGTAAATAAAAGGGGTTAAAAAACTTACCGTTTTTGGCAGCGGTATGACAGACTTTGGCCCAGATTTATGAAATGAAGACACAGATTTCTCGTCATTAACTCGCCTCTAAACAACTTGTGACATGACATACTTTGTTCTATCAGCATATTACTGATGTATAGTTAGAGCTTATAAAGCTTACTACACAAAAAGAGATCTAATTCTATTTTTCCTTTTTTCTTCTCTTTTGGTTTCCTAAGCCACTAATGTAAAACAATAGGAAACAGGCAAGACTTCACGTCGTCACGAAAACTGTCACTAAATATGGTAAAAAAATATTCGCTGCATACACACTATCTATGGCACCACTTTAAAGTTCACCTCTTGCTTTATTGCTGTAGACCACATCTGCTCTTATTTCTATTAATGAAGTTTTGAACCGAGAGTGTCATTTTTAAACAACGTGTCAAAGTTGTAGTTCAAAACCGGTTAATATTTTTCAACTAGGCTGACAACTGGCAGTTGATAAATAGAAAGGAACATGAAGAACAAATAAGAAAATTTGGGCTATTCATTTTGCTGAATTTTGATGAAATTTCTAGTTTTTACTTGGTCATTAGAGTGCTGAATGGAGTTGGCGGAAGCGTGAGCAAGAATCGCCACGGGTGGATGGCGAAAAACCACCTTCGCTCTTTCATCATTTGATCCTGAAGCAAATAACGTTGTTGCAACTAATTAACTAATAAGGTCTAAAACAATTTGACCTCTATACTGTACAACCCACCATTGCCTCCAGAGTTCTTCATGTCGCCATTTTCGTGGTCTGTTGAAATTCTTAAAGGTTTACTCTATCAGTTATAAATTTAAACAAAAGCAAAGAGTCTAATAGAATATGTCAATGTGCACTCGATGAGCCGACACGACACTGTCAATACGTTTGCCCGTTTCAAATTAGAGAAGGATAACGTAACCAAACAGAAGGCATCTTAGTGGTAGTGATGCCCGTTCAGTACGCTCAAGTCCCTGGTTCGAAACCGTATGAGCCAAGCAAGCCCTCATCCTTCCCATCCTTTCATGGTTGGGAATTGGTACCAGACTCGTCTAGGATCAGCTCGCTCCACCAATACCGAAAACCCGGCGATTGACTGCGGTAAACATCGGGGAGTCCCTAGAAAGGCTATCCAGGTATCCAAGAGAAAGACGACCAGCATTCAATCACATTTGTTAAAAAAATCAAAACTCTTCAAGAAACAGAAGATGCCCTGAAAATAGACGGTCTTTTGTAGAGATTGAGTGCCGAGTATAAGCAGTCCCGAAATCCGTGGAACATATCTGATGCTAAGTCGTGCACGTATATATTTCCATAATATACAGTAAAATTGTAAACCTGATTTTCAGCTACATGGTGTACACCCGTGCTTAAGCCTTGGCGAGCAATTTTGATCAAAAGTTACGAACCTGGAACATAAACCCAAAAGTAGGGAAGAACTTAGTAGCGAAGATTCCAGCGTGTGTTTTGTACAACACTAAAATCTACGAAGTAAATCGTATACAAATGTCCCACAACCGCACATCTACTAAGATGACGCCTAAGATGACTGAATGTTTCAAAGCAGTCTATAATGCGATCAAAATGTAACTAGGTTCAGCACTCTGATACGGTACTACGCAGACATCCGGTTTAATAATCTAAATGATTATACGATCCTTTAAGGAGCATAAAAGGAGAAAAAAGAGAGCAAATATCACTTTAAAAAAATCAGTAAGAAAATGACAATGCAGCCTTCAGTAACACAGCGACTTCATGGTATGTGATCTAAACAGAAAGGTGACTCTGAGACCTCCTAATATGACACAATACGGTGCCTACGGTAAACCCTTTTGAAGTGATGAACAAACATCTCTCAGAGCTGAAATTCATTGTCAAATGATAAAAGTATAAGGCGCTCTCAGT